ATTTTGGATGGTACAGGTCTATAGGACCGCCCTTCCTATCATAATTAATACACTAGATCACCCTTAAGAGTTCAGCGTTTTTTTATATAATAATAATAATAATAATAATAATAATAATAATAATAATAATAATAATAATAATAATAATATCTTCACTACATCACACATCATCCTTAAATGACATTTGTTAAACGTAAGTGGCCCAAGAACTCAGCCTTGTGGTTACCCCATCGTTATGTCTCCCCAGCCTCCCACACGCTGATTCTCCTCTTAAGTGTGTTCTTTTATCCTTTGAAAAGCAGCGGTGTGTGTGTGTTCACTATGTATATCAACATCATGTAGGTGAAAGATTAGGTTAGGTTAGGTTAGGTTAGGTTAGATTAGGTCAGGTTAGGTTAGGTTAAGTTAGGTTAGGTTAGGTAAGGTTAGGCTAGGTTAGGTCAGGTTAGGTTAGGTTAGGTTAGGTTAGGTTAGGTTAGGTTAGGTTAGATTAGGTCAGGTTAGGTTAGGTTAAGTTAGGTTAGGTTAGGTAAGGTTAGGCTAGGTTAGGTCAGGTTAGGTTAGGTAGGTTAGGTTAGGTTAGGTATGTTAGGTTAGGTTAGGTAAGGTAAGGTAGGTAGGTTAGGTTAGGTAAGGTTAGGTTAGGTTAGGTTAGGTTAGGTTAGGTTAGGTTAGGTAAGGTTAGGTTAGGTTAGGTTAGGTTAGGTTAGGTTAGGTTAGGTTAGGTTAGGTAAGGTTAGGTTAGGTTAGGTTAGGTAGGTTAGGTTAGGTTAGGTTAGGTTAGGTAGGTTAGGTTAGGTTAGGTTAGGTTAGGTTAGGTTAGGTTAGGTTAGGTTAGTAGGTTAAGTTAGGTTAGGTTAGGTTAGGTTAGGTTAGGTTAGGTTAGGTTAGGTTAGTTAGGTTAGGTTAGGTTAGGTTAGGTTAGGTTAGGTTAGGTTAGGTTAGTTAGGTTAGGTTAGGTTAGGTTAGGTTAGGTTAGGTTAGGTTAGGTTAGGTAAAGGTTAGTTAGGTTAGGTTAGGTTAGGTTAGGTTAGGTTAGGTAGATTAGGTTAGAGTTAGGTTAGGTTAGGTTAGGTTAGGTTAGGTTAGGTAAGGTTAGGTTTGTTAGTTAGGTTAGGTTAGGTTAGGTTGTTAGGTAGGTAAGGTTAGGTTAGGTTAGGTTAGGTTAGGTTAGGTTAGGTTAGGTTAGGTAAGGTTCGTCAGCAAACAGGACAAGTGTTTCCTGACGCGAGTCTAAGTCATAAGATGACCCATCAGTTTAGCTTTTGGTCATCTGACCGAAGCCTTCCACTGGCTTACCAGTCCACTCCACTAAAAATTAAAATTAGTCGAAATATCTGACAGCTGCAATATCGGACAGTTATAATATATGACAATCATCTACTCAAGACTAAAATGGAAAGTGAAAAAGAAAAAGTTTGTTTTTGGCACGCTAGTCATTGTATGAGTGTGTTTAGCCGGGTGTTATTTAGGGAAAGTGGTTAAGTTATATTATTTATACAGAACGTTCCTTTTATTGAAACCCTGATGGTTATATGTGATTAGGTCAGTGTTTCTAGCACTGCATAACACTGTAGTGTTGTGTAGTGCTGTGCAGTGTTGTGTGGTGTTGTGTAGTGCTGTGCAGTGTTGTGTAATACTGTGCGGTGTTGTGTTGTCTTGTTGAGTGATGTGCATTGTTGATTGTTATTCAGTGATGTGCAGTGTTGTGCAATGTTTTTGAGTGTTGTGCAGTGATGCACAGTGATGTGTAGTGATGTACAGTGATGTGCAGTGCTGTGCAGTGATGTGCAGTGAGGTGCAATGAGGTGCAGTGATGTGCAGTCCTCGACTACTAAACACTCATTACTCTAGCGTGGTTCATAAACATTTACATATATGATTATAAGTCTCCATGAAGGTTGTTGACACACTGTACACTCCTCTTGTACTGTGTCAGTGTGTGTGTGTGTGTGTACTCAACCATATGTGTATGCTGGGGTCGATTCACAGCTCCTGGAGCCACCTCTTCACTGGTGTGTGTGTGTGTGTGTGTGTGTCAAGGACAGAGGAGGTTGAAAAACTGATTACCTTAGACTACCTCTACTGTTTCGAGGATTGTAATGCATCTGAATTCGACTGATGAAACTGCCCAGTGGTGTACTTGTCTTACTCAACAATCTTTCGATATTGTATATACCATTCACAATAAGAAACACATTCCTGTAATCTAACCTGCTGAACAGGCGAAACGTTTCGACAATTAAGATATCTAAGCGTTGCACATGTCTTACCTCTGTGCTCACATATTTACCATGTACAGATGCTGCAGGAGGTGTTAGTGTTGATGTCAACAGCAGCAGCAGTAGTCTCTTGCTGGCCTTCACCTGACTCTCCTCACACCTTCATCTACTACAAGTAAGTTCTTGCCTTCAGTTTCTCTGTGGTACGTTTCATAATTGACATAACCTAACCTTCAGCATGAAAAAAAATCATTACGAAATGTTTGATGAAAATAACCACTTTATTAAATATGTTTATATCATCGCAAAATTATTAGTAACGTAAGTGCAAAGTGTAAACATTTGCTGAAAGTGTAAATATTATGTTAAATTTGTGCCTATAACATCAGTGAGCCCTCAAAAACACTAAAGAATTTGTGTGTAGTGAAAGCCTAAATAGAAATGTACTTATTTTCTTGCTTACTTATTTTCTGCTTATTTATTTACCAATTTACATATAATTTTCGTCGCAGTCCTCCCGCGGACGGCGCCCCACCAGCAGACATCCAGTTAATGATGTTTCAGGCAACTAACTCCGACCTGCAGCAGCCTCACCCTGCTGGGCACTTCACCTTTCTCAGACACGACAAAGTACCTCGCTACAACCATGCTCCTGATCCCTCTCCAGCACCACGAACCTCTGGTGGTGATCTACTAGACAAAGAGACTTCTGGCCGTGATCTTCCAAACAGTCAGATTTCTGTTCGGGAGCTTCCGGACAATCAATCTTCTGTTCGTGATGTCTCAGACAACCAGTCTTTTCGTGAACTTTCAAATGTGCACATCTCAAGTGGTGATCTTCCAGATATTCAGGTTTTCGTTACTACTATTCCAGACATCCAGACTTCAGTTGGTGAGCTTCCAGAAACTCAAACCTCAGCTGGCGTTCCAGAAATCTTAACTTTTTCTGGCGAGCTTACAGACACCCAGACTTCTGCTGGTGTCCTGCCAGTTAGTGGCCTTCCAGAAACTCAGACCTCTGTTGGTGATCTTGAAACCACTCAGGCGTTTGGTGATCTTCCAGATACCCAGACGTTTGGTAATATTCCGGTTATACAGATATCTGGTGATCTTCCAGTTACCCAAATGACTGATATTCCAGCCATCCAGACGTCTGGTGATTTTCCAGAAACCCAGAGTCCAGCTGAGAATCTGTCAGTCACCGAGGTAGCTATTGGTGACCTTTACGACATTCAGACCTCTGTAAGCGACATTACAGACAACATGGTCTCTCCTAGTGAGCTTCCAGAAACTTTTACCTCAACTGGTGAGCTTTCCTTAATCCAAACCTCAAATGACGATTTTTCAGAAAATCTAACATTTGCTGGAGAAGTTACTGATACCCAGAGTCCTACTGATAATCTTGCAGAAACTGCTGTTATTGAGCTTACAGATACCACAACCTCTACTGACGAACTTCCAAATACCCAGACTTCTGTTGATTTGTCAGAAAACCAGAACTCTTCTGTTCATTTTCCAAATGGCAAAAATTCAATTGGCGATCTTCCAAAACGCCAGAGTTCTAGTAATCTAGAAGCAGAATCTTCTGTTGATTATCATCTAGAGATAGGCACACACACGACCGATGGTTATCTTCAAGATATTCGGAAATCTGATGGTAATCTTTCAAACACTAGTTCTGATCGTGATCTTTCAGAAACTAAGAACGCTGCTGGAGACATTCAAGAATCTCTGATTTCCGCTAGTGACAGTCCACATATCCAGATCTTTGTTGATGCTCTTCCAGTCACAAGGACTCTTGTTGGCCATCTTCCAGACATCCAGACCTCTCCTGATGACCTTCCAGATGTCCAGACATCTGCTGGTAACTTTCCATACAACAAAACTTCCATTGCTGACGTTCCAGACGTAATGACTACTGCTCCTGACCTTCCAGACATTCAGACGTCTGCTACTGACGTTCCACACCCCCAGATCTTGAATAGCAATCTTCCTGAGATCCAAACATCTACTGATTTTCTAGGCATTCAGACCACTGCTGATGCCCTTCCAGACACCCAGACCACTGCTGATTCCCTTCCAGACACCCAGACCACTGCTAATACCCTTCCAGATGCCCAGACCACTGCTGATAACTTTCCAGAGATCCAAACCTCAGTTGGTGATCAAGAGATCCAGATGTCTGTTGAAGCGAGGGACAGTGAGTTTGATACGAAGAGTTCTCTTGGCCCTCAGCCATATATTGAGACTGTCACTGAAGGTTCCTTGTACAAAGATCAACTAAATACTCACAGTTCTTCAGATAAACCAGTAAATAAACCTCTGTTGGCTCATTTCCCTTCATCTGAGGAAGTCTTCGAACTGCCGGTCACATTTAGACACGATCTGGTCGGCGAAGAAGCAGATGACATCACCACGCCACCCAAAGATAACAAGACATTGCGTATTGAAGGCAAAACAAAGAAGAAAACGAAGACAAAATTAAAGACAGAAGTGGATCATTTGGAAAACACGCTGTATTTTGCTTTCGAACAGGACAAGAAGAAGGAAGACTTACTGACTATTCCACTCGGAAGATCAGTGGAATCCAGAGCCCAGCCCTTAGCTGATTACCCGGTCGAGCACCGCGGGGACCCCAGTAACATCTACCAGTACCACTTCCAGGACCATAAGACAGGTGAGTGTGTTCTAGCAGTGCTTACGGTACCAAGAAACAAGTGAGTGTGTTCTAGCACTGCTTCCAGTACCAGAAGATAGGTGAGTGTGATCTAGCAGTGCTTCCGGTACCACGAAACAAGTGTGTGTGTTCTAGCACTGCTTCCAGTACCAGAAGACAGGTGAGTGTGTTCTAGCACTGCTTCCAGTACCAGAAGACAAGTGAGTGTGTTCTGGCACTCCTTCCAGTACAAGATCTATATATCAGTAACACTTTCAGAGGGAAATTTTATCCTAAATTCTGGGGCCTCGTAAATATTTTGTGGGATTAGTTAGTTTTTCAATATATTATTCTTATTTTTATTACATTTTTCATGGAGGTCTGAGACATTTTCTCACATATTCGAAATTTTAGCTACAATATACATACCGATAATTGATGGCATATTGTGTCGAAACAAATTATCCAAATTTCAACTCAAACTTGCTTTGTGGGCCTCCAGATTAATTACTAAAATCACGTGGAAGCGTTGTAAGAGGAGGAAAACTCCACTTCCTTGAATCTAGAGCATTTTACCAGCACATTGCCTGAGAGTTCCAAGTCGTCTGAGAAGTGTCGTTCCTGCCACCAGGGTCGTACAAGTTCGGCTACGGTGACGACCACCAGTGGAGACACGAGGAACGACACCCCGACGGCGTAGTTCTGGGTCGCTACGGCTGGCACGACGCCCTGGGCAAGCAACATGTCACACATTACGTGGCAGACGCAGGAGGTTACCGTATCGTCCGTCCTGGCCAAAAAGTAAGTGTAGCTGAAGATTAAGACACATGTAAAACAGTTGGGTATCTTCACTGATGAAATGTTTCGCCTACACAGTAGGCTTCTTTAGTCAAATACAGAGGAAGCAAGTGCAGTAATGAAATAAAGATGATATAATCAGTCCATCAACCTCGGAGAAAAAGTATATGAGGTGGTCAGTCCCTCAGCCTGGAAAAAGAGTTCAGTTCAATAGTCTGGAACGACCATGCTACCTTTGTATTTGACTGAAGAAGCCTAATGTGTAGGCGATATGTTTCATCAATAAAGATACTCAACTGTTGCACATGTGTCTTAATCTTCAATTTGTCGGTATTTGATACTATTGTCAACAATGCTTGGTATGCATCTCTTGGTGTGACTGTTGCTTCTGTTGTAGTTATTGTTGATTCTGCTGTAGCTTCTATTGCAGAGCTGATATAGTGACTGAAGCGTTTTTGTTTAGTGGCTGAAATGTCTGTTGTATTAGCGGAAGATTCTGTTGTAGTAACTGAAGTGTCTGTTTTAGTAGCTGTAGCTTGTTTCAGTGAGTAAAGTTTCTGTTGTAGGGACTGATGTTTCTGTAATAGTGACTTGAAATTTCCGTTGTAATTGCTGTTGATTCTGTTGCAGCAACGGAGGCTTACCAGTGCTTGGTAATAATGTTTGACGCCTGTTGTTTCAGATCAACATCGTCCCTCGTCAAGCATCCATTGCTCCTGAAAATTCAACCACGCCTACACGCCCACCCTCCACGTCTACACGCCCGCCCACCACATCTACACACCCACCCACCACGTCTACACACCCACCCACCACGTCTACACACCCACTCACTACGTCTGGACGCTCAAACATCACGCCTGGACCCCCAACTACTACAACAACAACAACAACTACTACTACTACTACTACTTCCTCTCTGTCGTACATCGTGAGCTCAACATCCCCTCCACTATGGTGGTCATCCACACCTCCGCCACCTACAACCACCTCTACATCCCCAACACCCACACCATCAAGTCCAGTTCTCACACAGACCTCTGTAACACCCCCACCGCCTACGACGTCTTTAAGTGAGCCACCTACAACACAGCTCTCGACGCCCCTGGCTGACGAAGATCCGGTGAAACCACAGACAGCACCACCAGTAGCTACGGGACGCCCACCTATCGCTTACCCTCTTCCTCAGCAGTCTGTCAACGCCCGCCCCTCCCAGTGGTTGCCGCCCACGTTCCAGCCACACCCACAAGTGTACTGGTCAAGGCCGCGGCCTGCCCACAGGCCATACAGGACCCAGTATCATAGCAGACCCATTCCCAGCCCATTCCGTCCTGTTAACCAGCCACGCCCTCAGCTCTTCAACCCACCCAAGCCTCTCAAACCTCTGTTGTCCTACATCGGTCTTCCTAGACCAAGACCACAAGAGCAGGATGACCCAAGAATCAGTTCTGAGACCTCCAGCGCCCCAACTCTGAACGACATTGATAGCGTCATACCTCATCGAGAGGACGCACTCAACACACCATCCAACCAGACTAAGACGAACTTGCTTCGTCCTGTCAACCGGCCTCGTCCAAAACCACTTCGTCCACCAGAAACCCCGTCTCTGAGTTCCCACGATAGCACTGGGTCCGAAGAGTTCTCGGCACAGGTGGGTCCTCCTGAGTCCACAGATAACGAAATCTCGGACTCTGAAGAGTCACAGTTTGTAGAAGATATAATCTCTCACCTGCAGAGTGCGTATGACCACCCTTTCATTCGCTTGCCTGCGGGCGAGGCAGCCCTGTGGCCGCCAGCAGTGTCCCCCCTGCACTCACTCCGTCAGGGTCCTCTGCAGGGAGCACCGAGCACTGCCCTCAGTCCCCCACCCCTGACGAACAACATGCGTCCGCAAGACACTCAACCACAGCTACTAGCAAGTAACGTACATCTGCAGGATACACAACCACAGCCAATAGCGAGCAACCCCATACAAGTACTGGACACAGAACCTTCACTCAACCAGCCAACAGTGTCCATCCTTGAGGCAAACCTCAGCCAATCAAAGGTGCAAGCAGCCACTCCCGGCAGCCAATCAGAGGAACACAAACCTGCCTCCAGTGCCTCACTCAACCCACAACCACCACCAATTGATTACGCCTTCATGGATGAAGATTACACTTCAGTTGAAAAATCACACATACCAATACACGAGAACACACTTCGACAGACATTGCAGCACATTGTTGACGATCTCAGAGGTCAAGTTGTCAATAGAGACGATGATGGTTTGACAGCTGAACATGATCAGTATGCAAGTGAAGGTGCCGCGTTAGTGGGTGAAAATGATGTTGTGGGAAGTAGAGCCACTACTCGTCTCCAGGACGCCTCTGATAGGCTGAGACCTGGTCATTATGTCGACACAGAGGGGTTGAAGGACTCAGATGTGGGACAGGTGGAAGACGCAAGCAGTGATCGCAGTACCAGCAGTGACCAGAGCACAAGTAAACAGAGTACAAACAGTAACAAGAGTACAGACAGTGTTCAGAGTACAGACAGTGACCAGAGTACAGACAGTGATCAGAGTACAGACAGTGACCAGAGCACAAGCAGTGACCAAAGTACCAGCAGTGGCAACAGTACAGGAAGTAACCAGAATACAGGCAGTGACCAGCGCACAAACAGTGACCATAGTACAGGCAATGACCAGAGTACAGGCAGTGACCAGAGTACAAGCAGTGACCAGAGTACAGGCAGTGACCAGGAAACTATCAGTGACCAGAGTACAAGCAGTGACAAGAGTACAGACAGTGACCAGAGTACAGGTAGTCACCAGGAAACTATCAGTGACCAGAGTTCAGGCAGTGATCAGAGTACCAGCAGTGACCAGAGTACAGACATTACCCAGAGTACAGAAAGTTACCAGAATACAGACAGTGACCAGGGAGCTATTAGTGACCAGAGTACAGGCAATAATCAGAGCACAGGCAGTGACCAGAGTACAGGCAGTGATCAGAGTACAAGCAGTGACCAGAGTACAGGCAGTGACCAGAGTACAGGCAGTGACCAAAGTACAAGCAGTGACCAGAGTACAGGCAGTGACCAGAGTACAGGCAGTGACCAGAGTACAAGCAGTGACCAGAATACAGTCAGTGACCAGAGTACCAGTAGTGACCAGAGTACAAGCAGTGATCAGAGTACAGTCAGTGACCAGAGTACAATCAGTGACCAGAGTACTAGCAGTGACCAGAGTACAAGCAGTGACCAGAGTACAGTCAGTGATCAGAGTACCAGCAGTGACCAGAGTACCAGCAGTGACCAGACTGCAGTCAGTGACCAGAGTGCCAGCAGTGACCAGAGTACAGGCAGTGACCAGAGTACAGGCAGTGATCAGAGTACAGGCAGTGACCAGAGTACAGGCAGTGACAAGACACCCTCCACCTGGAGTGACACATACACCGCCAGTGACCCACCACAGGAGACTCCAGCAGGCAGTAGACCTGCAATTTCGTTCTTCCCACCTCCAGGAGGCTTGTGGCCTTACCTCCCTCACCAGGAGACCTCCACTCCTGACACCTCCAACCTGCCTCCACCTCCCCCTCCACAGAACTTCTGGAGTGAGATCCTTAAGCACTTGTACAACCTCCAGAACCTTGTTCCTCAGTGAGCCATCACCTATGAACAACCCCACTTCTTGGGGAATAAGCGGTAAACCCATAGGAATCATACGACGCATGGGGCACTGGTAGGGAATCAGGTTCGATCCGAGGATTTCGGCGGAGACCTCCACGTCCTTAGATCAAGAGAGTCTGTGATAAACAGCTGTACCACCGGATGGGCATTGTTAGGTTAGTATGGTGCTGGGGCTTATCTTGCGACAGATACTTGACTGAAATGGGCTAGTTGTAGTGCTGAGAGGGCTGGTTGTAGTGCTGAGAGGGCTGGTTGTAGTGCTGAGAGGGCTAGTTGTAGTGCTGAGAGGGCTGGTTGTAGTGCTGAGAGGGCTAGTTGTAGTGCTGAGAGGGCTGGTTGTAGTGCTGAGAGGGCTGGTTGTAGTGCCGAGAGGGCTAGGTGTAGTGCTGAGAGGGCTGGTTGTAGTGTTTAGAGGGCTAGTTGTAGTTTTGAGAGGGCTAGTTATAGTGCTGAGAGGGTTGGTTGTAGTGCTGAGAGGGATGATTGTAGTGCTGATAGGGCTAGTTGTAGTACTGAGAGGGCTGGTTGTAGTACTGAGAGGGCTGGTTGTAATGCTGAGAGGGCTTGTAGTGCTGAGAGGGCTGGTTGTAGTTCTGAGAGGGGCTGGTTGTAGTGCTGAGAGGGCTGGTTGTAGTGCTGAGAGGGGCTGGTTGTAGTGCTGAGAGAAATGGTTGTAGTGCCAAATGAGCTAGTTGTAGCGCTGAGAGGGGCTGGTTGTAGTGTTGAGAGGGATGGTTGTAGTGCTGAGAGGGCTACTTGTAGTGCTGAGAGGACTAGTTGTAGTGCTAAGAGGCTGACTGAAACGCTGAGAAGAGCTGTGAGCAGTCATAAGGTCTCAGCTGACATAGAAATCAGCTGACAGTGAAGATCTCAGCTGAGAGTGATGGTCTCAATTAGCAGCGATGAAAGTCATAATGATGGGCATTAGCGCAACTTTAGTTACGAAAATGGGCATTTGAGTACACACACCACGAAATGTACTGAGAGCGATTCTCTCTCAGCTTCATCCCACACCTCAGCTATACGTACAAAGTACTAGATAACCTCAAGCTATCTCTCAGCAAAAGACACAACCATACCCTCTGCCTCTCAGCTAAGACACAACCATACCCTCTCCTCAGGTAGATATGACCAGACCCTCTCCTTCTCAACTAAGACACAAACAGACCCTCTCCTCCTCAGCTAAGATACAACCAGACCCTCTCCCCCTCAGCTAAGACACAACCAGACCCTCTCCCTCCCATCTAAGACACAACCACCACACCCCTCTCACTCTCAGCTAAGACACGGCCAGACCCTCTCCCTTTCAGCTAAAGAGACAAACAAAATATTTCAGTCTGTCTCAGCTTCCCTGTCAAGCTAGACATCCCTGGCACCACTATATTAGTGCAATATAAGTTAGCTTTGGAGCTGGCAAGGTAAACAATGTTAAGTAGTCATAAGGTCACGCTGTATGTATTACGTACGACCGTTGGTCAATAAGGCAAGTGGTTTTTAGCGTTATAAATAAATGACAAATAAGAGAAATTTGGGAAAAAAAACTGGAGTCACGTGGGATCTAATTTGTATTAGCCGGGTTGGATCTCACACCGGCGACTGGGTACACTGGCCTCGATCCAACGTGTGATGTATTTGTTTATGTGTCATTATTCTTATAATCATCTGGAGGCGCTAAACTCAGAGGCGTCATACAGAACCTGGGGAAATGGCAGGAAACCTTGATTGATCCAAGAAATAAGCAGTGATCTAATTTTTTAGATCACGAGGCCCTTGACGGCATCTAGGCACTATCAAGAGCTCCTCAACGGCGGCGAGGCATCATCAAGGAACCTCTCACCGAGATGAAGGCGCTCCCATCTAAATTGTAGTGTTGTCTGCAAAGATAGATATGCTGCTTTGATTTGCATCTCATGTTCGATATAAAGACGTAAATCATAACATTGTATCATCCTGTGCAGACGATACTAGAATCTGCATGAGTGTCATCCACTGAGGACGCTATAAATCTTCAAGCGGATATAAACAGTTTTTCAATGGGCCGCAGAAAACTATGTTCAATGGGGACAAATGAACAGGCAGACACTGCTGCGCGGTCAGCAGTATATGACCTACCAATTTCCTATCGAGGTGTTCCATTTCTGGACTATTTTGCTGCAATAGCTACCCACCTTCGCACCCGTTGGCAACAACGTTGGTCAACTCTGCTCGGTAACAAACTTCATTCTATTAACCGAGCATAGGTTACTGGCCGTCTTCTTGTCATCAGTGCCGAGGTTGGGAGACCACTCTCTCCCGCCTTCGCATTGGCCACACTCGTCTTACTCATGGGTATCTCATGGAGAGGCACCCTGTTCCATCTCTGTGAGCAGTGTCAAGTTCCAGTATCGATTAGCCACATTCTGTTTAGACTGCCCTCTCTATCAACGAGCACGCAGAATTTACCTCCAACGTCGTCTTCGTTCTCCTACTCTCTCTTTACCTTCCCTTCTTGCTGATGGACCCTCCTTTAATCCTGACTCTCTCATTGACTTCTTGACAACGACTGATTTACTCCACAAACTCTGATGATACTTTTCGCACTCCCCTCAGCCCTTTCTGGTTCAGTCTCTTGCTGCCCTTTACCCTTTCACCATCCACTGCCCCGCTGTTATCCGTAACCTGTTGCTCATCCATCTCCCTTTTGCCACCTGATGCCCTCGCTTCCTTCCTGCCCTGCAGCGCTGTATAGTCCTTGTGGCTTAGCGCTTCTTTTTGATTATAATAATAATCAATGGGGACAAATTTCAGTTACTTCTTTATGGAAAACTTGATGAAATAAAAGCTAGAACGGAGTATACAACACATTCTAACCACACAAAAGAGCAAAAAACTAATATGAAGGATTTAGGAGTGGTAATATGAGAAGATTTCACCTTCAAGGGTCACAGCGGTGTCATCACACCCGCGAAGAAAATGATGGGATGAATAATGAGAACCTTAAAAACAAGGGATTCCAAGTCAGTGGTGGTGATCCACTTAAAGTCACTTGTTATCTCTAGACTAGAATATTGCTGTACAATAACAGCCCATTTAAGACAGGCAACTTTAGAAATCAACCTGAACTCCTTGGAAGTCAGGTGTGAAAGATACATTATAGTGTACACCTGGAAAATCCTAGAGGGACTGGTCCCAAATCTGCACACAGAAATCACTTCCTACAAAAGCCTGCATGACTTCTGGGTTTAGCGCTTGGTTTTAATTTATTCCTACAAAAGCAAAAGCCTCGACAGATGATGTAACATACACTTAATGAAAAACAGGATTATTGCGAGTACACTGAGAGAACACTAAATGTAAGGAACCAAAGATTATTCACCAGCATTCCAACATACAAATGTGGGATTGCTACACGACCCCTGAGCTGTCTTCAAGAGAGAACTGGATAAGTTCCTAAGTCAGATCCTCACCAACCAGGTTGTGATTCGCACAGTAGTAACAGCCTGGTTGATCAGGCTCTGATCCACCAAAAGGCCTGGTCATGGACCGGGCCGCGGGGGCGCTGACCCCCGGAACACCCTCCAGGTAGTTAGACCAGTCAAGAGACCCTCTCCGACGTCAAGCCATCTATAGACATTTGTGAATACATGTAACGTTCACGTTAGTGAATAAATTAACGTTATTCATTTACATTTTTTAGCGAGACCTGTGCCTATCCAGGAACACAGGGAGGTGGCTGGTGGGTCTTGTTGGCTAGGTGGTCTGGGACCTAGCGCTGGTGAGGCCAGGCTTGGGATAAACCAAGTAATTATAAGCTAGATTAGTCTGGATTAGAATTGGGCTAGGGGAGGCTGGCTTAGTGTGCATCAGTGGAAGCAGATGAGTGAGGGTTACCCACGTGACTCTTCAACATGGACTCTGACACATGCTTGAGTCCACACTGTTCAAAAAAGAATACAAAACAAGTGTAATTTGTTGTGGACTGTGTCACTCCTTGTCTCAGAACTGATGAACAGAATAAACGTCACAAAAGTGAGAACACTAGGCTTGTGTCAGCTCAATAATTATGATGAGAATTACAAACACAATCCAATAAATATTATTTCCTATTCCTTGTTTTATTAACCGGAAAACAAACAACCTGAGTAGTTAAACACTAGGTCGTGACTAGCGGACGGAGAATCGAGCCTTCACTAATACTTAAACTGGTTGACCCAGACGCGTTCATCGCTTCTTGAAATATAAAATAGTTTATTACCAATGCCTTTTGCTCCAAGATACAGACCGAAGAGAAATTATAATTGGATCTCTCAGTGTATATACACAAAAATATACACCTATCAGTGTATACACACAGAGATATACACCTCTCGGTGTATATACAGGTATCACCTCAAGTCTGCACTGCGCTAATTGAATCTTCCGCATCACAAAACCAGTTGCCGCAATAATTGGTTGTGAAATGTGGCGGTCCGTTCCTTGTCCTGATGTGGCTCATCTTCCACTTCTAAGTGTTGCTGGTGATGACTGTGGCTCATCTTCCACTTCTGAGTGTTGCTGGTGATGACTGTGGCTCATCTTCCACTTCTGAGTGTTGCTGGTGATGACTGTGGCTCATCTTCCACTTCTGAGTGTTGCTGGTGATAACTGTGGCTCATCTTCCACTTCTGAGTGTTGCTGGTGATAACTGTGGCTCATCTTCCACTTCTAAGTGTTGCTGGTGATGACTGTGGCTCATCTTCCACTTCTAAGTGTTGCTGGTGATGACTGTGGCTCATCTTCCACTTCTAAGTGTTGCTGGTGATGACTGTGGCTCATCTTCCACTTCTAAGTGTTGCTGGTGATGACTGTGGTTCATCTTCCACTTCTGAGTGTTGCTGGTGATGACTGTGCTTCATCTTCCACTTAAAAAGTTTAAGAGATTCTGTGAGCAAACACCAGGATATATTTTTTTCGGGAAACGTTTCAGTCCTGGGACCTTGACTACATTACATATAGTCAAAATGGGTAAGAGTCAGATGATGAACTAACAGTGCAAGTGAGGTCTGAGATGGAGTCAGGTAATTCGTGGTCACCTGTAAGGTGAGCGAGGCTCACCTTGTCGAGTGTCAGGTGTGCCAGTGTTTACCATTGTTTTCCTAGCTTCCTGATCCACGTGTCTTAAAAAGACACAAGTGCAACTAATGCGACATTTTATTGCGGCAACGTTTCGCTCTCCTGGAGCCTGAAAAAGCTGGAGAGTGAAACATGACCTGAATAATGTGTGTCCTACACAGGAACTCTGAGACATTTGATGAATTGGAAAGATCACATACCCCGACCTTAGCTGTTGAACATACCTGGATTATTATTATCGTCAAAACCAAGCACTAAACCCACTAGGGTCATACAGCGCTGCTGAACATAACTGGAAGCTTTATTACTAGCTATTACGGACACCACAGATCATAGGAAGGAGAGTAGAAGTCTATTTTCTTGGATCGAAAGCCCCCTCACAGGTGACCCCAATGACCACCTGGCTCCATCTCAGACATCACTTATACTATGTAAATTTTGTTAGGGTGTCACATGACTTACACATTTTACCTATGAACACTGTTGTTCTCAACCTTGTCTATAGGTCCCTGGACACCTGATGCTCACCCGCCCCGTGGCTAAAACTCTCGCTTCGCACGGCGAGCTCGGTTCGATTCCCGGCGAGGGTAGAAACATTGGTTTCTTAACACCGGTTGTCTATGTTCCCCATCAGTAAAACGGGTACCTGGGTATTAGTCGACTGGCGTGGGTTGTATCCTGGGACAAAACTGACCTAATTTGCCCGAAATGCTCTGCATAACAAGGGGCTTTCTGTACAGTTTTATGTCATGATGTCAGCCACGCCTGTATACCTTGTACATGTACAAATAAAGATATTATTATTATTCATGAACTGCCACTACCGCAGGAATGTTCTTTTC